TCATGCAAATTGGCGTTGGAGGAGGGGAAGATCATGATAAAGCAAATGAGGGGGGCAGGGTCGCCAAGGCAGATGAGTATGTACGCATGTACTGGCACGGCGCCAACCCAGGCCAACCCTCGGATCGAAGCAGAGCGCACAGGCTCTTTTCGCACAGGCTGCAGGGCCTGCTGGCGTAATCTTCGACGGCGTTGGGAACACAGCGTGGACAGGCAGCGCCGACACCAGCCCATGATTTGTCGAAGATGGGTGGAGGCGCTGAATTTCAGTACGGCGACTTCCTGCCATGACAGCAACGCGGACACCAAAAATTGTTTTCAATCTATGAGGTGTAAGCTATGTTGTGGAGGCTGTGGAGCCATGTAACAGAACGGACATGCATACAATGTATGTGTGTATTTGAGCTTGTGTGTAGACAATATGCATTTTCAGGCAAATATGCAGGTGGAACAATGTATGTGGTCAACGCATGTGGTGCAAGCTACGTGGTGCAATCAGTGTTAGAAACTTTGAAATTTCAACTCCAATGCTCGCGCAATCACCCGACCTTCCCATCCGCACAACCCATGCTGTGGCGAGTGCGATGACTGCTCGGCGCTGGCTGGCGCATTTCTTCGGCAGCACTAGCACACACAAGCTCGTGCGCAGAGCGGCCAGCAAGTTTGGCACAGCCAGCGCGGCCGCGGTGGCGCTGACCGATGGGGAGTTCCCGACGTGTCTCACAGGCCGCGCTGGCGCGCGGGCACTCCAGTGCGAGTCGGTGGTTCGGGCGGGCGCGGTATCATGGTGACGTCGGCAACTGGGGAAACGATGATGCTAGTACCGATGATGGTGACGATGGTGACGATGATGACGATGACGGCAGCAGAACCGAAGACGGCGCCGTTGCTGGTCTCGTCGGCAACGATGATGATGATGATGTCCATGTGTCGGTGATGAGGGTTTCGGACAGAGAGCGACATGCGCGCGCGGGCGGCGCGCGCGAGTGGCCCACGCGGCATTCTTTGACAAGGATCGCGCCCCCCCCCCCCCCCCCCGCGCACCCCACCCCACCCACCCAGCAAGCGCGCAAGGGCGCTCGAACGACTTCCGCATCTGCGCGTAATCTCATGTTGTACACGAGCTGGAAAGCCAAGTAAAACTGCTACCATCTTACAAATTTTCGGGAACATCGATCTTGAAATCCTTGTTCTGGACGGGTTTCGGCACGCGCGCGCGACGACGCGCGCGCGTGGACTTTGCACCATTGCGTTGCAAGGGGTTTTTCATTCTTGTGTTTGCTACACGAGTACGCGCGCATGGTAATAGTTGCAAGGCCAGGGGCGGGGGGCGATGGGGGGGGCCTTTCCTTGGGATGGCATGAGTCCATATGCAGTGTGATCGATGGGGGCAACACCATGGGTGAATTGTACCATCCCACAGGAGGCGGAAAACTGGGCCTCTCTCCTCTGGCGGCTCTCTTTTGTCAACGCAAACCATATTGCGCCACGGCCGCTTCGTCTTGGAGCGCGCGGGCGAGGGGCGCAAGAGCCTGAAAAAGACATGCGGTGGATGAACTGAGGACATTCCGAAAGTCAGGCGCCCCAGAAGCAGAGGCATTGGGCTGGCACAGAGAGGCGAGTGAAGGGCGCGAGCCGCGCATTCGCTCGCGCGCGCGCTCCCAGGGGGGGAAAAGCTGGGCCGCCCTTCTCTGACGGCCCCCATGTTGTCGACGAAAACCATCTTGTGCCACGGCCGCTTCGTCCTTGCGCGCGTGGGCGAGGGGCGCAAGAGACCCGGCAAGAGACGCAGTGAGCGAACTGAAAACATTCTGAAGTTTAGACGCCCCGAAGCTCTCGCTCTGGAGGCAAGGTGCAGCTTTCCAACGTTAGAATCGCTGCGAGCTTTCGAGACCAACGTGGCAGCGAGCGCGTGAGCAAGCCGAGCGGGGCAGGGCATTGCCGGGAGCGCCCAGCGAATTCCCCCTGGCCCGGCTGCTTCTGAGCGCCGGCGGGGGGGCGACCCGCGCGGCCGCCGACTCCTCGCCCAGAGCAGACTCCATTGTGCTTAGTCAGATCATCTAGACAAGCGTTGCCAATTAAGAAAGAATGATTTTCCCGCCGCGGTTTCCCCCATTGACAAGAATCTGTTGCAATCGAGTTAGCGTGGGCGCGCGCTATAAACCCTATAAGTTTGTGGTCGCACCGCATCTTGGAAGTGCGAGGGTTCTCGGGGGCCCAAGGGGGCCCTGGCGGACTGGGCAGCGCGGGCCAGATCGAGAGCTGCGTCTGGCGCGGCGTTACCGAAAGCGATCTTGGCCTGGTCGCTGGCCTTCGACCCCGGGCCCCCCCTGGTATATTCTGGGCGCTTCGCGCACCCCCGCCGGCCCATCCAGAGACGATCAGCAGGGGGGTAGGTGAATCAGGGGCGGCAGGACGCACGCACTTGCGCGGCCGTCTTCGGGAAAACAAGGGTCACAAAGAGCTTCCCGCATTGAGCTTTAAGATTGAAATCGATGCAAGCTACGCTGGTGCTTCGATGAGGGGCGAGGTGTTTCGATGACACGTGATGGCTGTTGCGCTGATTCGTATCTTCAGCTCGCGTGCGTTTCGAAACTTGGAGCCCTCTTGGGGTTATGTTGAGGCCCTCTTGGGGCCCTCCTGGAGCTCTTTCTTGGGGCTCTCTCGAGGTCCTCTTAGGGCCTTCTTGGAGCCCTCTTGGGGCTCTTTTGGGGCCCTCTTGGAGCTTTGTTTGGGGGTCTGGGGGCCTTCTCGGGGCTTTTCTAGGATGCCGGAGGGGCCTCTCGGGACCGTCTTGGACCCTTTCGCTAAAGTCAATGGTTCTACTTCCCATCGCCCCCTCGACCGCTCAAAAATGCCGTCCTGGGTGGATAGGGTCCGAGCTTCTGGAAAACCATTTTCCTACTTACAGAAATGGTTTTTGGGGCCCCCAGAAATGGTTTGGGGCAGGCTGACGGGGATGAAGGCGGAGGACGGACGGAGGCCCATGTGTCCATGTGCCATACGATTCCCCATGGGCCACATGAGCCCAATGAGCCTTGTGCGTCGGTGCTTCCTTCCTCCCCCCATCCTGCTTATCATCATTATCGCCATATTCATCCTCCTCCGAACGCTCCCCGTTATCCTCCTCGTCCTCATCATCATCATCATCATCATCATCATCATCATCATCATCATCATCATCATCATCATCATCATCATCATCAGCATCAGCATCAGCATCAGCATCATCATCATCATCATCATCATCATCATCACCATCATCATATTTGTATGTATCGCCAGCGTCAGCGTCATCATCACCGTCGTCGTCGTCGTCGTCGTAGTCGTCGCCGCCGCCGCCGTCGTCGTCGTCGTCGTCGTCGTCGTCACCGCCGTCGTCGTCGTCGTCGTCGTCGTCGTATTCGTCGTCGTCGCCGTCGGCAGCATCATCGTCATCATCATCAGCAGCAATATCACCATCGCCATCATCAGTATCGTCATAATCATGGTTATCACCACCGTCACATTCATCATGCTCATCACCATCGTCGTCATCGCCATTGTCAGCATCACCAGCATCATCACGACCACCCTCATCACCATCATCGTCATCGTCATCATCGTGGCATCTCGTGGAAAAGCCCTCCTCCTCCTCCTCCTCCTCCTCCTCCTCCTCCCCCTCCTCCTCCTCCTCCTCCTCCTCCTCCTCCTCCTCCTCCTCCTCTTCATCCTCCTTCTATCTTCCTCATGTCGTTTCCTCCTCGGAAGGCCCCGATGGCCTTCTGGCCCGTAGACGGGGGTGCACGGTGCAGGGACCAGGGGAGGGGTCTGGCGGGGCCCCCCGTCAAGGGTCTCTCAGATGTTCAGAAGAAATTGATCACAATTCGTCTTTATTCCCTACCTAGGCTCTGCCTAGAAGGGTTCTTACTCTTTAGCTTAAAGGGGCCAGGCAGTGGAAAGCGCCCTGGGCGGTTCCCCCAGTCCTCTGGGAGCGGTTCCCCCAGTCCCCTGGGAGCTTTCGCTTTAGCTTTGGCTTTAGCTTTAGCTTAGCTTTAGCGTTAGCTTAGCTTTAGCTTTCGCTTTCGATTTAGCTTTAAGATTAGCTTTAGCTTTAGCTTAGCTGTAGCTTAGATTTAGCTTAGCTTTAGCTTAGCTTTAGCTTAGCTTTAGCTTCGCTGTAGCTTCGCTGTAGCTTAGCTTTAGCTTAGCTTTAGCGTAGCTTTAGCTTAGCTTTAGCTTAGCTTTAGCTTAGTTTTTGCTTAGCTGCAGCTTAGCTTTAGCTTACCTTTAGCTTAGCTTGAGCTCAAATTTAGCTGAGCGTTAGCTTAGCTTCAGCTTAGCGTTAGCTTAGCTTTAGCTTAGATTTGCCTTAGCTTTAGCTTAGATTTGCCTTAGCTTTAGCTTCGCTTTAGCTCTGCTTTAGCTTAGCTTTCGTTTAGCTTTAGCTTAACTTTAGCTTAGCTTTAGTTTAGCTTTAGCTTAGCTTTAGTTTAGCTTTACCTTAGTTTTAGCTTAGCTTTAGCTTAGCCTTACTGTTACTACTAATGCTGCTTTCCTAGGGGTTCCAACTCCTAGGTAGGGTCGCACTGGGATAATTGGAGCAATGCTCAGAAGGCGCAGGCGCAAGTGCAACAGTGCAACAGAAATGCAACAGACGCAAGTGAAACAGAAGGCTCCCGCTGCGGACGCAGCGGCCGCCTCCACCGCCCGAGCGGTCGACTGCGGACGCCACGGCCCTCCAGGTCATCACTTGCCGCCGCCTCCACCGCGGCCACCTCGAGCGCGCCCGCCCCCCCTGCCCCTGCCTCGGCCTCGTGCTGGGCCGGGGCCAGCGGCGGGGCCTGGAGGTGCGGCCCCTGGCAACATCAGCGCCACAATCTCATCCTTGGGAAGATGAAACACACGTTTCCAAGGCAGATTGTCTCGTAAGTGCACCTGCCGAGCCATTGCCATCTTCGTTAGCTGACCAGGGGCAGCCCGTGAAATGTGTTCGTCCTCGACGTCCACCACATCATTGAC